GAAGAAGGGCTGGGCGCCTGCACCGCGCGCGAGGGGAGCGCGGTTGACGGGAATGCAATTCCCCGTTGGCCCCGCTCCTGTTATCCAGTAAGTTGCCGCTTCCCCCTGGCTCCTGCTGATGATCCTCCGCCTGCTGCTGCTGCTTCTCCTCCTCCCGCTGCTGCTGTTGCTTCCTCGTCCTTCTCTCCCTCCCGCATCCTCCTGCTCCTGCCCGCCGCATTTCTATTATCCCCATCCTTCTCGTTCTCGACCTCCTTGTCCTCCTCCTCCTCCTCCTCCTCCTCCTCCTCCTCCTCCTCCTCCTCCTCTGCCACACCCTTGCTCTCACCAGGAGGCCCCTCCTCCTCCTCCTCCTCCTTCTTCCCCTTCTCATCCTCTTCCTCCGCCTCTTCCTCCTCCTCGTCCTCCTCGTCCTCCTCGTCCTCCTCGTCCTCCTCCTCCTCCTCCTCCTCCTCCTCCTCCTCCCATCGTCACGGCGACTCCTGTCGAAGGGCTGCGCGCGTCAACGTCCACACCTCGACGAAGATGAGGGGAAACGTTCGGGGGAGACGAGCTCAGGAGGGGAAATATCGGCCTGGGCTCGGCGATACATCGCTGACAAATCGGGGATAGGCCCCGGAAAAAGAAACCGTACGTTCCTGGGAGGGGCTGGCTATCAGGCCCTTATTGGCGATGACTGGGCGATTGGAGGTCGATGCACACCCCCCATCAGCATATCCCCGCCTCACGTTGCCCATGAGAAGAGGGGGAGGAGCACCGTGGAGAGGATGACCCAGACATCCAACGCGTTGGAAACTGCAAGACCGATTTTGGTTGGCCATTTTCGGCCTCTCGGGGCCCCTCGGGGCCCTCCCCGGACCCCCGGGACAGTCGAAACACGACTCGGGGTGGAAAGCTGGCCCTGTGGAAAGGGCTGGGGAACTTGAGACTCTGGCCCTGTGGAACCCTGACCTTCCAGAGAGCCATTTGTTAGCACTGGAGGCCTAAAAACCTAAACAACTGAGCGAGACAGCCTAAGACCAAGACGTAGAATAGCTCGGGGATAGGTTTTTTAGGTCGGGTGCCATTTTTTAGCCCTCCTGGAAGGTCGGGGTGGACAGGGCTGGGGCGCTTGAGAATCTGGCCCTGTGGAGAAGGAGGAGGAGGAGGAGGAGGAGGAGGAGGAGGAGGAGGAGGAGGAGGAGGAGGAGGAGGGAGGAGGAGGGGGAGAAGGAGGAGGAGGGAGGAGGAGAAGGAGGAGGAGGAGGAGGAGGATGGAGGAGGAGGAGAGGAGGAGGGGGGAGGGGAGGAGGGAGGAGGAGGGGGAGGAAGAGGAGGAGGAGGGAGGAAGGAGGGGAGGTAGGAGGAGAAGGAGGAGGGAGGGAGGAGGGAGGAGGAGGGGAACTCGAGCATCTGGCCCTGTGGAAAGGGCTGGGAACTCCGAAAAAATCGGGCGCAGAGGCGTCCAACTTCGTGGGACTTCGGAGAGGCCCGGGCTCGGAGGCCCGGGCCCGGGCTCCTCCTCCTCGCTCCTCCTCGCTCCTGCCTCGCTCCTCGCTCCCTCCTCCTCCTCCTCCTCCTCCTCCTCCTCCTCCTCCTCCCCTCCTCCTCCTCGCTCCTCCTCCTCCTCACTCGCTCCTCCTCCTCCTCCTCTCCTCGCTCCTCCTCCTCTCCTCCTCTTCGCTCCTCCTCCCCTCCTCCTCCTCGCTTCCTCCTCGCTCCTCCGTCTCGCTCCTCCTCCTCCTCCTCCTCTCCTCCTCCTCCTCCTCCTCTTCCTCCTCCTTCGCTCCTCCTCCTCCTCCTCCTCCTCTCCTCCTCCTCGCATCCTCCTCCTCCTCCTCCTCCTCCTCCTCCTCGCTCCTCCTCCTCCTCCTCCGCCTCCTCCTCCTCCTCCTCTCCTCTTCCTCCTCCTCCTCCTCCTCCTCCTCCTCCTCAAGACTACGCAGCTTTCATGCTCCAGCACGTGGCCATGGGCCCCATGGGCCGTCAACACAAACGGCTCGGGGTGGACAACCGGACTCGGAGAAATGGTCGGCAGTTCGGGGGCCCAGGTCTAGAACAGATCGAACCGCGAGACGCTTGGGATGGAGGGGAGGAGGCGGCGGCGGAGGAGGAGGAGGAGGAGGAGGAGGAGCGCGAGGAGCAGGAAGAGCGGGAAGAGGGAGAGGAGGAGAAGGATGCACAAGGAAAGGATGAGCTGGGGAAGCGAAAGGCATAGGCGGGCGAGCAGACCTCGCACGGGCACTGGAGGCTGACTCGAGGGAGACTCTGCTCCTCCCACCCCTCGTCCCCCTCCTCCTCCTCTTCGTCCATCTCCTCCTCCTCCTCCTCCTCCTCCTCCTCCTCCTCCTCCTCCTCCTCCTCCTCCTCCTCCCTCCTCCTCCTCCTCCTCCTCCTCCTCCTCCTCCCCGCCTCCTCCGCCTCCTCCTCCTCCTCCTCCTCCTCCTCCTCCTCCTCCTCCCTCCTCCTCCTCCTCTCTTCGTGCTCCTGTCAAAATCATCGCTCCTCGTCCTCCCACTTCCTACCTCCTCCTTGCCTTCCCCTCTTCGTCCGCCCCTTCCCTACTCCTCCCTCCTTTTCCTCCTCCTTCGATTCTCCTCTTCCTCGTTCTTATGACCGTCCTCCGCCTCCTCCTCCTCCTTCCGCCTCCTCCTCTCCTCCTCCTCCTCCTCCTCTCCTCCTCCCCTCTACTCCTCCCCTCCTCCTCCTCCTCCTCCTCCTCCTCCTCTCCTCCTCCTCCTCCTCCTCCTCCTCCTCGATCCTCCTCCTCCTCGATCCTCCTCCTCCTCGATCCTCCTCCTCCACTTCCCCGCCCTCCTCTCGCGCCCCTCGCCCCATTTGCAGGGAGAGGGTGCCCCTCGGCGCCCGCCCCGGCAGCGCGGACGTCGCCCGGCTGGGGGCGCGGCTGGGCAGCGCGGACGTCGGCCGGCTGGAGGCGCGGCTGGGCAGCGCGGACGTCGGCCGGCTGGGGGCCTTCCGCGGCGAGCGCACCGGCGGGGGGTCCTCCGCCAGGCGCCGGGCACCCTGGCGGCGGGGCCGCAGGAACCCTACAGCACCCCGATGGTCCGCTACCGAAAATTTCCGGTCGCGCTCCGCAGAGATCGGTCGCTACCGAAATACCGAAATGCAGCGCCCAATACCGGTATCAGAGCTTTCTGAAACCCGCTATTTCCACGCCCTCAAGCGAAGATCCGGTCGCTACCGAAATTCGGGGTGCGTCGAAATCGCTACCGAAAATTTCCGGTACCAGACCATCTGGGTCCGCCAGGCACCGGGCACCCTGGCGGCGGGGCCGCAGGAAACCCACAGCAGTGTCGCAGTCAGAGCTCAGAGAGAAGGAGAGAGAGAGAGAGAGGGGGGAGAACTGAAGATACTGCACAAAGGAGGAGAGGTGCACAGCACCAAAGATCAGAGTCAATGTTACAAGCCATGTGTCCTGGCGTCCTTATCACGGATGCTCTGTTTGAGTGCAGCCATGCGCTCCTCATATTTTGGGGCATCCCCTGAAACCGAACACGGATGGAAAGAGAGAGAGATATATATATATATATATAGAGAGAGAGAGAGAGAGAGAGAGAGAGAACGAGAGCGCGCTGCCATCGGACCTGGGGATCGGGCTCTGAACAGGGCGGCGCGGCGGGGCCTCGGCCATCACATCAAACACTGACTGTCTATGGCCTCTAACTGTCGTTTTCGCTGTCTTCCATGACGGCGCCGGTGATGCGGTTGAGAATGCGCCCACTGCTGAACCCATTTTGCCCACGAGTGTTCCGAGCCAACCGTGCCCACGAATGTTCAGAGCTCAGAGGAGGAAGGTGGATCGACAGCTTCCCGTGTGGTCGCCCTTTCGGACCTCCTGGGAGGCCCTCGTCGCCACGGCTGGATTGTCCTCGAAATTCTGTGGTCAGGACGCACCTCGGGAGAGAGAGAGAGAGGTCGGTTGAATAGCGGTACGACAGGTTCGTGTCGTGCCGACGACTTCGGCGTTGATTTCTGACACCGCAGGGATTGTTCTTTCTTGAGCGATCGGCCATTTCCGAAACGTCAGAACGTTCAACATCGACTGATTCTGGGTCGCCAGCGGCGTTCAACGTCGAATGCCAGCGGCGGGGTCGCCGCCAGTCGACACGACGCGAACCCAGCGTAAGCTGGCTGAGGCAACAATCTGACTGAGGCCACAGCCTTGACTCTGCGAGAGAGCCACAACCTTCGGGCACGGTGGGGGCATTGCAGAAAGAACCCTTGGTTGAGACATTTACGGAGTCGAGGCCGCTGGAACACCAACTGAGACTTGGCCATGGGTAGCACTGCCGCCCTCATCAGACAAGGAACCTACCAGGGTCTGAAGCCTCCTGGGCACATTCCTGAACGACCGCCCCCCACCGTGTGCAAGGCCTGGGATAGGCTGGAGCTCGAGTGGGCTGGAACGGGTGGTGGTGTCGTGCTTCAGGTGTGGGGTTAAGGTGGGCATGTCCTCCTACTGGCGGGTTTGAACAGTCGTAACAAATCAAAAATAATCAAAAAGAGCACGAACAATCGTCACCATACTTTTGTAAAACTTTTCTTGAACACTCCTGATGTAAAGGGAAATGACCGGCTCAATCAAGGCCACGCGCTGGCGGGAGCGGCTCCCTTTCTGAGCCGTGCCCAGCGAGGCCCCCCCCCACCAACGGACCTAAAGAGCATCAGGAAAACCGCCCGCCCCCCCCCCCCCGAGGGCCTTTTCCCCCGCTGCGCCCAGCAGTACCGAAGGTGGACGGTCTCGGAGCCGAGGATGCAAACGCCGATGGATATCCCCCCGTCTCACCCGCCGCGCGCGGGCGCTCACTTGTTCCCGCGCGCGCGCTTCAGAGCCGAGTCAGACCCTCGTCTGTGGCGAGTCGGCGAGGGCCCGGCGCTGCGGCCAGGGCCAGCCGCCGAATCCAGGGGTGCGCGGCAGCCGCGGCCGCACCCCAGGGCAGGCTGGCCCCCGCGCGTGGGTGCATGCCCTTCGCCTCGCTCGAGGTGCCAAGAAGGGGGTCCTAGTCCAAGAGGAAGCGTGGGCGCACAGTGATGCAAGCTGTTTGGGCCCGACCAGGGGAGACCAGTGGAACATCCCGCAGCTGTTGTCCAGGTTCGGGGAAATTTTGCCCGCCAGCCAGACAGACACCCAAAGTGTAGGTCAAAACTGAGCCGTGTTTTGTTGTAAGGGGAGACAGGCATCGATACGCTCTTCATCCGCACATAGCATACAGTAGGAGCTCGACCACAAGAAACCTCCCAGAATAAACCCAACCGGGAAACCCCAAGACGTCCACTGATTTGTGGTGTGGGAACGCAGCGCTTTCCGTAACAAAACCATCGAAACACAAGAAACCCAGGGCACTCTGAAGGCAAGCAGGGTGTTTCGCAGCATGGGTTCCCACTGTAGCATTACGACGGCGGGTGAAGGAGGAGGAGAAGAAGGGAGGAGGAGGAGGAGGAGGAGGAGGAGGAGGAGGAGGAGGAGGAGGAGGAGGAGGAGGAGGAGGAGGAGGAGGAGGAGGAGGAGGAGGAAGGGAAGCAGTGGAAGGTGGTGGAGGGGAGCTGGTGGCGCGCGTCAGGCCCCCCTTGCCTCCAAGAACGCGCGCGGCTTGCAAGGCCGGCAGAAGGCGAGCACCAGGCCACCCACGGTTGCGCTCCGCGCCGCGCGCAGCCGTGTGACAGAGCGGTGCGGTGACAGACCGTGCGGCAACCGCGGAGTCCCCGACGACCTCACCGCACGGTCCATCATTTCACCGCTCTGGGTCTCTGGATGCCCCCGTCGCGCGAGAACTAGCGCGGCCCTGAGATCCCGACTGACTCACCACGCGGCCCCGAGATCCGACGCAGCGAACACATTGCAGCATCGGGAAAAATCGCGGCCGGAGCCCCAGACGGCACCTTGCTGAGCCATTCTCCGAGCCGAGCTGTGAGGGCCCCGGAGCCCAGAGCCGCGGGCAAACACGCCGGGCTCGAGGCACTCGCGAGGCGCCAGACGTGTGGCCACTGCGCCGCCGTTGGGGGCCGCCCTCCGCGCCCTCGCGCCGCCGCCCTGGAGAGGTCCGCCCCGGGGGGGCGAAGCGCGGCCAGCGGCGGGGCAAGCGGCGGGGGGCAGGCCAGCGACGGCGGCGGGGCGAAGGCCGCGGCCTTCGCCCCGCCGCCGGGGCGAAGGCCGCGGGGGCCCAGCCGGGGCGGCCGAAGCGCACGCTCCGAGAGCGCCGCGGGGCGGGGGGGCGCCCCGCGCGGCCTCGGAGCGGGCGGGCGGGCGGGCGGGCGGAGCGGCGGGCAGCGGGCACGCCGGGGGGCGGGCGGGGAGCGCCGGGCGGGGCGGGCGGCGGGGCGCGAGGCCGGGCTTGGGGCGGGAGGGCGGGGGCAGCCGCAGGAGGCGGGGAGGCGAGGCCAAGGCCGGGCGGGCGGGCGGCAGGGCGCGGGGGCGGCGGGCCGCGGGCCCCGCGGGTGTGGGGGGCGGGGCCCGGGCCGGGCGGCGGCGGCGGGGCGGAAGCGGCCGCAGGGGGCGGGGCGGCGGGCCCAGGGCTCGAGAGGGGGCCTCAGCGCCGCGGGGGGGCGCAGGCCGCCGCCTCTCGGCACTGCGAGCTCGCAGGGCTGAGGAGCTTCTGCGGCTGGCCGGAGTCTCGGGATGAAGAGCGCGTTTCTTGACCTTCGGCGATAATGAGCACTATAAGGGGGGGGAGGGGCCAGGGGGGGTAATGTAACGCCTCCCCCCCGCCGTGCGCACGGCGGCGGTGCCCGGAGCGCACTGGGGGTGGAGGGGAGTTACGTTACAGGGAGGGGGGAGGGGAGGCCGGGGGCTATCATGCCCATTATGCCCCAAGCAAGAAAGAAACACGCTCCAAGCCGGTCGGGGTGATGTATCGCTGAAGTTTCAGAGCGAAGAGCCATGGATACGCACCGAGGCCCCATAGATCCACGAAGAGCGCCGCCAGAGGGAAAACATGGAGGGAACAGCGGATCCCCTCCGAAACCGAGGTGGGCCTCGTCCACAAACTTCGACCCCAAGGGGGTGCAGTAGACACACACGACAGGCACCCTTGCCGCAAGAAGCCTGAGGGCACACTCTCTGTCGACCTCCGGGGTCCCGGCGCCTGGGGTGTCCCACGGCTTCTGGGGCCCGCGAAGGCCATCGGGGAGAAGAGAGACTACCGCCGGGCACCCTGCTGGCAGCTGCCAGCAGGGTGCGAGTCGAGTCAGGAACTGGCCTAGGCCAGTTCCTGACTCGACGCGCCCGCTTGCTATAGTGAAGTCGGGCGTGTCCCCCTCAGGGGGATTTTCGACGAAAAATCAAAGATGATCAAAACATACTCCATACTGGTCAAGAAACACTCCAAAAAGCGTCCCCAGACTATTTGTTGACTATGTTTGCACATTCCCCCTGTAGAGGGACAGGCCCGACTTCTTGCTACAACTTCGCGAACTGCTTGCGGGGGGGCGGGCGCGGGCGGCGCGGCGAGGGGCTTCCTCCACCGACGGGACCCTGCGCGTGGGCAGCCACTCGGGGCATCCCTCGCAGGGGGGGGGCGGGCGCCCGGGGGCAGCCAGCGGGGCACGGCGGGAGGAGGCCATCCTGCGTCATGCCTGCGTCATGCTCCTGCTGGTCCTCCCTCTCCATGCTCCCTCCTCCTTCCTCCTTCCTTCTCCTCCCCCTCCTCCATGCTCCCGCCTCCTCCTCCTTCCTCCTCCTCCTCCTCCTCCTCCTCCAACTCCTCCAACTCCTCCTCCTCCTCCTCCTCCTCCTCCTCCTCCTCCTCCTCCTCCTCCGACCTGCGCCTCGTCGATGCTTGGTGGCTGCGCGCGCAGGTAGTGCAGGAATGCGAAGCTCAGCTCCAGCGGGAGTGGACCCGACGCTGGGGGGATGAGGCTGGAACCACTAAAATCTTTCCCGAGCACGTGCGGGACCTGCTCGCCACACCGGTGCCCAGCACGTGGACGTCGGAGCACCGCACTTCGAGCTCGCACGATTTTCGCGGGCGGAACGTGGAGCCAGCAGCGCATCTTCGACAAAGGGGCGGCCACCAGCAGCCTGGGCGCCGCATGCGGTGGAGAGGGGACTGATCTAAGCATCGATGTTGCTGCTGCCCTGCGCGCCAGGCCGCGCGGCAGCAGGCTGGGCCTCCAGAAGTGCAGCAGCTAGGGGTCGCCAGCGCCCCCACGGCTGCGAGCGAATTCCGCGGGGGGCGAGAGGAATCGTGCAGGACCCCGGCGCGAAGCTCCCCGACCTCGGTATTTCTGACAGGGCTTGCACGCTAGGTGAGGCCCCGGATTTGATCACGGGCGAGGTCTACGCAGACGGCTCGTTGCTGCACGGCCGGCACGCCGCCATCAAGCGAGCGGCGTCTTGTTTCGCGCAGTTCAGCGACAGCGGAGAACAAACCTTCGCCGTTTACGGGCCGCTGCCGCGGTCGCAGGATGAGCACTCCATTGTCAGAGCAGAGCTGCACGCAGTACGCATGGCACTGCAAGCGGGCATGGTACCGCTTCGCTCCAGGTCTGGGTAGTGGATGGCTTCGCTCCAGGTCTGGAATGGTGCACGCGCTGTTCGAACCCGCATGCCAGCCAATGGACATCGGCCTGGCACCTTGTTTCGGAGTCAGGCGGCCTGGGCCCACAGGCGGTCCAGATCGCAAACGTAAAGGCACACGCCACGGCAGCCGAACGCCGGGCCATAGGCCACAGGCCCGAACCCACTTCCAGGGCAACAAAGGCCGCGGACACTGGTGCAGAGCTGGGAGCAGCCGTGCTGGCACACCCAGAGAATGGCCCGTGGAGAAGTACCTGCGCACGTCTGAGCTGGCCAGGGCATCGTGGCCGGCCACGCAGGCCATGCAGGGAGCTCTCATGAGGGCTCGCGACTCCGCATCATGGCCACTTCTGCATCCTATGCGGACGCCCGCGGCACGCGGGGCCAGCTGCTGCAATGCTCCGCCGGTGGTCGAACAAACCATAGCACCTGGCAAGTCGTAGCCACCTGCTCTCCCTGGCGCATGCAAGGATCCCGCTGCGACGCAATTGCACGTGTCCCCTACCTCTCGCTTGGCCTGCGTCGGCCTCTTCCTGGTCTTCATACCCCCCTGTCTGCCTCCCTCTCTTTCTCTCCCTCCCTCTCTCTTTCCCTCTGCCTCTGTCTGTCACTCCCCGTCTCTCTCTCTCTCTCTCTGTCTCTCTGTCTCTCTTTGTCTCTCCCTCTCTCTCTCTCCGTTTCTCTCCTCCCTCTTCTCTCTCTGTCCCTCTTTGTCTCTCTCTCTCTCTCTGCCTCCCTCGCCATCCCTCTCCCTCCCTCTCTCTCTCTCTCTCTCTCCAAGCTGGTCGCCGCGAGCCCTGGCCGAGGACGCCAGAGCGGCAGGCACGCGGCCGAAAGCCCCGCAGGCCCTCTGGGCGCGCAGCTGGCTCAGGGCGCTGCTCATTCCAACCCCCTTCGACCCAGACGAAGCACGACCTCTTCGCGTCCCCCCCCTCCCCCTCCCCTGGGTCTGGACGTGGGGGGAGCGAGGGGTTAGCGGAACACGAGGAGGAGGATCCATCGGGGGCGCGCAAGCACGGATTGGCGATCCATGGATGCGGCGCGCGGGCGCCAGATCCATGGATCGGGGGAGGGGTGCCCTCCCCAAAGTGCGGCCGGTGCCGCCTCGTTCGGCGGCGGAAATCCGCGGTTTTCCACGGAAACGGGACCCGTCGCTAATCCACGCCGCCTCGATCCGTGTTTGCGATCGCCTGAAACCCCCTTCAACCGAGACGAGGCATGATTTTCGCGTCCCCCCCCCCCACGCCCCCGGGTCTGGACGTGGGGGGGGCGAGGGGTTAGATCGTCCAAGATGGCTCCACGATGTCTCCAGCAATGCATCTGGTTCAAGGTTGCCTTCAAGTGGCACGAGATAGTTTTATACGGCTTGAGATGGCCTCGGGCATGCCTCCACATGCTCCAAGCCTGCCCCAAGAAGGCTCAAAACAGACACGGAGACTCCCAACGAGACTCCCGAGAGCCTCAAAATTACTCAAAAGCCTAAGGCTTTCCATTACTTTACCCGTCTCGCATTGTCGCTTCCGATGGGCCTCTGAGGCCTCAGAATGGCTCCGATATCACCCAAGGGAGCCCCAAGAGGGGCCCAGACGTGTTCCAATACGGCCCCGATGTCTCCCAAGAGCGCGCCAATCGCGTCCCATGAAGGCTCCAAGAAACAATCTGTCGCGCTCCAAGGGGGGAACCACCAATCGGCGAAGCTACTTTTTTGGGCGATGTCCTCCAAGATGGTCAAAGCGGACAAAACGTTCCAAAGAAGACATCGCACATAGAAGTCTCCATGACTCGTAGAGTTTCCCAAAGTGCGAAGCAACTGAAACTAGAATAACTATGGCGCGCCGGCAAGCTAGTTGGCAAAACAGATCTCGGCGGAACTGTTGGGCTCCTGGTTTTAATTGAAAAATCGCTGCTCGAGATTTCGCAATCCGTTGGGGCACTGAGAACTGTTCAGGACAGCTGCGATCTTATTCCTGCCCGCCATCCTGATCTCAGGTCAATCGCCCCAGTCTGAAGGGGTAGAAGCATGAATGTGGGATTGCACCTCGCGCCTTGGAGACCCATGTTCGGCATGCGTGTGGCTTGTTGGTTGGATCTCAAGAGTTCAACCAGCTGCAGAGCTCTTCGATACACCATTGAATCGGGCATCGTCGAAAGCATCAGTCTGCAACCCCGAGTCCTGAAATCGGCTCACTACTCGAGCTATAATCAAGCAGCTAGATCCGAACTGTAACGATTCTGCTGCGCGCCGAGCTCTCTTTGTCCATCATAATGTTGAGATTCGGAGCAGCTCGAAAGCTCTTCTGGCTTGTCGCTGAATCGGCCATCACTCATCGAGAGCATCAGTCTGCAACCTCGAGGGCGCCGATATCGGCTTATTACGCCAGTTGTGCTCGAACGACTAGTTTCAAACTGCAGCGACGTGTCGAACTGATGTTCGACTTGATCTCGAGATTCAGAGCAGCTGCAAAGCTCTTAAGCATACCATTGGATCGGACATCGCCGACAACATCCTTCTGCAACCTGAAGGGCGCCGGCATCGTCCCTTCACTCGAGCTATACCCGGAAATCCAGTTCGAACTAAAATTATCATGATGAGTCGAATTATATTTCGACTAGATCTCGATACTTATGTAGAGCATCTACAGAGCTCGAATGCATCCGCTTCCGTGCCGCTGGGCACGGAGTGGGCGTGTCCTCAGGTCGTGGGCCCAATCCTCTAATCCTCAATCCTCACTCCTCAGGAGTCTTTAGGGGCCCAGACCTCGATGTCCGACATCTCCTGGGGCTTACCGCGTGCCTCCTGGGCTTTGCCAAGTGGTGGCGCGTGAATTTTTTGGCCCTGGGAACTCCAAGAGGGCCCCGAGGCTCCGAACGCTCGCTCCAGGATGCTCAAAATTGCCCCCAGACATCCGAAGAGGCTCCCAAGACGCCCCAGGAAGCTTTCAAGAGGCCTCACAAGAGGGCCAAAATCATTGATGTTCAACAGGTGTTTGAAGGCTTTGGGCTTTCTGGCCTTTTCAGTTCCCCGGCGCTCCCCTCGAGGCCCCAAAGACGGCTCCAAGAGGGGGCCCAGATGGAAGGCCCGAGCGGATAGTTCGAGCACTCGGCCCTGAGAGGCCCCCAGAAAGCCCCAAGTGTCTCCCAAGAGGCCCCCAAGAGTCCCCAAGAAGCCCCCAAGAGGCCCCCAAGAGGCTCCCAAGAGGCCCTGAAACTGCACCCAAGAGGCCTCGAGAGTACTCCGAAGAGGCCCAAAGAAGCACCCCTGAGAACTCTGACCCACAACCCAGGCACGGTGGCGAGATGGGCCTAAGGCCACTAGATCTGCCGCCCCCTGTTGCTTGCAACAGGGGTGCCTGGCGTGCCAGATTATATGGCTTTTGGTTTTGGTTCTTTTTCCAAAGGAACTCCCCCTGGGGCTTCGGCCTGACCCGCCGGCCACCCGGAAAGGATCTCAAAACGCGTCTGTCGTGCCTCTGTTTCCTCCAGTTGGCCCAAGATGGCGTCCAAGACGGTCAAGATGGCCCAGGATGGTCTCCAAGAGGGCCTCCAGGAAGGCCCGAGATGGCCTCCAAGACGGCCAAGATGGCCCCAAGATGCCTCCAAGACGGCTCAAGATGGCCTCAAGATGGCCTACGACGGCCCAACAGGCCCGCAAGAGGCCTCCAAGACGGCCCAAGAGCCCTCCAAGACGTCCTCCAGGAAGGCCCGAAAGGGCCCAAATCATAGATTTTCCTCAGGTGTTTGAAGGATTTTGGCATTTGCGCCTTTTCGGCTTTCCGACGGCCCAAGATAGCCCAAGAGGCCCCCAAGATCGCCCAAGAGGCCCCCCAAAGGGCCCCATGACGGCCCAAGTGGCCTCCAAGACGGCCCCAAGAGGGCCCAAGAAGCCTCCAACACGCCCAAGATGGGATCCAAGACGCCCAAGATGGCCTCCAAGGCGGCCCCGAAGCCCCAAGAGGGCCCCAAGTCGGCCCAGAAAGGCCCCCAA